AGACCAGTTGTTGGAGGTTTAGGAGGACCTGAGAAGACCAGTTGTTGCAGGTTTAGGAGGACCTAGAAGACCAGTTCTTGGAGGTTTAGAAGGACTTGAGGAGACCAGATGTTGGAGGTTTAGGAGGACCTGAGTAGACCCGTTGTTGGAAGCTTAGGAGGACTTGAGGAGACCAGATGTTGGAGGTTTAGGAGGACCTGAGAAGACCAGTTGTTGGAGGTTTTGCCCCATTTTGGTCTGATGGACTCCAGCTGTCCAACAGTCCTGGATGGAGCAGATGCTCTAAAATCTTCATATGTTTTTCTTCATTGATGAGTCTTTCCAGATGTGTACGCTGCTCATGTCAGAGGCACTAATGCACCACCATACCATCAGAGAGGCAGGCTTTGAAACCAGACTGGATGGTCTTTCTCCCCTTTAGTCCAGAGGACGTGGTGTTTCCAGACAGAACTTCAGATCTGGACCCATCTGATCTCAGAACAGTTCTGGACTCAGAGTCAGTTTGGAAGATGAGCATTATTCTTTGTCTGATAGAGCTTTAATCTGAATCTGTGGATGAGCTGCGTTTACAGAGGATGATCTGTGGAAGAGTTCCTGAGCCCAGAACAGAACCAGACCTGGTTTTACTGCAGTGAGGTCCAGAACAGAACCAGACCTGGTTTTACTGCAGTGAGGTCCAGAGCAGAACCAGACCTGGTTTTACTGCAGTGAGGTCCAGAACAGAACCAGACTCAGAAGTGGTTCAGTCTCTGAGTTTAAACCTTGAATGTGTTTTATTGTGAACAAAATGTGCGTTTTCCATTCGTTGGAGTTTTATTTCCACAGTTTTGCTCCACAGACAGAATTTAACGACCCGTCTGTCTGAGCGACAGCGACTAAACTTTTCTTCGCTCTTACAAGACAACTCGAAAGGACACGTCAGATCAAGTGACGGTGGAGTCGATGCTGAAAGTGTTTTCCACTCTCCCGCAGGATATCACCGCCGCCATGACAAACAGCAACGTGACCAGCAAGCCTCCCGTGACCCTTCGCCTGGTTTTCCCCGGGAGCCAGTGCGGCTCTCTGATCGGCAAAGGAGGCTCAAAGATCAAAGAGATCCGAGAGGTTGGACTTAGTTTAGTTTTGCACCTGGAAGTTGTTTTTCTGTTCCCACAACAGGAAGTTACCCCCCCCCCCCCCGCTCCGACACCCCAGGTGTTCCCTTGTTCCCTCAAAATGTGACGGCTGCTCCTGAAAACCTTCTCATTGTCCAAGTAGGATCAGCAGCGTTTGAATGTTAACTCTGAGCGGTCAATATTTGTTTGTGCCTCTTCAAATATCGGAGCTTCGGCCTGCAGCTGCTCCCTGCATGTCAAAATACGGCTGTGGGGAAATCTGCAGGTCCTGAGACACCGTTTGAGTCCGGCCGGTGGTTTGACCCTCTGCTAACGGTCTGCTCTGTCCGCTGATTTAAGACCACCGGCGCGCAGGTGCAGGTGGCAGGAGACATGCTGCCGGACTCCACAGAGAGGGCTGTCACCATCTCCGGCACGCCGCAGGCCATCACTCAGTGCGTGAGACACATCTGCTCCGTCATGCTGGAGGTGAGCGCCGCCACACAGCCGAAGATCTACACCTTCAGCTGCTCCGTGCCGAGGAGCGCACCTTCGATGTTTTTAAACTGACCGCTCATGTTGTCCCGTCTGATATTAAACATTGATAAACATGTCCACCGTGACCTTTGTGACACGTGTGAGACATCAACAGTGTCTCCGTCTTAAGAGGACGCAACGTCTCTCCTTTGTTTTCGGTCCACATGTCTCCAGTCTCCACCGAAAGGAGCAACTATTCCCTACCGTCCCAAGATCCTCCCCGCTGGAGCCCACGCAGTTTTAACACCGCAGCACCCCGCACAAGTAAGTAAAAACTGTGATTTTAGCTGATTAGAGTAGAAATCATGTAGCAGCCGAAACACGTTCATAAAGAAATAATGTAGCAGCCGAAACACGTTCATGTAGAAATAAGGTTGCAGCCGAAACACGTAAATGTAGAAATAATCTAGCAGCCGAAACACGTTAATGTAGAAATAATCTAGCAGCCGAAACACGTAAATGTAGAAATAATCTAGCAGCCGAAACACG